GTAAATGGGAGGGAGGAGTAAGGATATCTCCACGACTCTAGTTTGACTACAGGTTGATGATGGTGCTACAGGATGAGGGATTATAGGAGAAGCAGACTGAACACTGGGGAACAAAGGTGAGTTCAGTTTTAATGTCTAAGTCCATCTTCAAGTAGAAGAAAAATAAGAGCACGAAGGCTTCCATTGATCTGGGAGGTCCTTGGTTCCATTAATTAACACAGTATTAGTGACTATGAGGCGCTGGTAAGGTACACAAGAATAGTTTCAGTGCAATGATGATTGTGGACACAGATGGTGAGGACATGGTGAGTTGATGGCAGATGAGGAAATACTGTAGCTCTTAAGAAACTTAGATGCTACTGGCGACTTCTGGGCATGAGAGAACAAAACAAGAATATACAGTAGAAGAAACCTACGTGCAATGCTAAATACAAAGTGATGTTCTGGACTGTCTTGGAACAGAAAAAGGACATTAGTAGAAAAACTGGTGATATCTGAATGAAGTCTCTAGTTTAGTGAATAGTGATGTACCAATGTTACTTAGTTCTGACAAATGTTGCATGGTCATCTAAGATGTTAATCTTAGGAGAAACTGGGTGAAGGTCCGCAGGACCATTTCTGCACTATATTTGCAACTTTTCTAAAATTTTTCCAAAAATTAAAGTTTACTTAGAAAAATCTAAGAACAGATATTCCAACAATACTCCCTATTCTACAAATTAAAGTTTTTAGTTCAGGAATTTCTGAATTTATTTTTTAATAATATTTGTCTGATTATAACATGATTAAATACTAATTGTAATATAATAATTGGAAAATATACTTTTTATCTAACAATTTAGAGATAATAATCGTTAACATCTTTTCTCACTCTACAGATAAGTGAATTCTATTTAGCCATCATTTAGACCAATCCCCTGGGGGTTTCTTCCCCTAATATTTTGTTATAAGCTTTTCTCCTCATGTAATTTAAATTTTTTCAAGGCATTTAAGTGACTACATACTTGTCTACACACAATGTTGTACCTATTCCTAAGCTGTTGGACATCTGAATTATCAATATTTCCAACTTTTCATTATTTACAAATAGTACCACAATGACTATCACATGCATAAATGGAATGCACATGCTGATATCATTAGGAGAAATGTCAAAAAGTGGACTTGAAGGAAATGTTTCCTCAGCACTTTTGATAAATACTACCGGTATGTCCTCCAAACCACAGAACCAAAGTCTACTCTCAGTAGCAGTATGCCAAGACTCAGTCTCCCCGATCCCACCAGCAAAGAGTATGAGCAGTTTTTAAAAAATGTCATTAATTTGGTAAGTTAAAAAATATCATCACTACTTTTAAATTTATGTTTCTTTGCTTTTGCTTTTTAATGAGACTATTTTTAATATATTCATTTTTAGCCACTTTGGTTTCTTCTTATCTGAATTACCTGTTTATGCCCTTTGCCTGTTTTTGGACTGAGATCTTGTATATCTCATTTTTTTTTTCTAATTCCTCTATCTATTATTGACCTTTTATTAGCTATAGTTGTGGATAATATTTGCTAATTTGTTGTTTCCCTTTTAATCTTGTTTATTATGAGGTTATTTAATGTACAGAGTTTAATTTAGATATGCATACATTTAATTTTCTTTCACAATTTCTTATATTCCTTTTATGTTTATGAAATCCTCACTGCCAGGGTCAGGCACGGTGGCTCACGCCTATAATCCCAACACTTTGCCTGGCCAAGGCAGGTGGATCACCTGAGGTCAGGGGTTCGAGACCAGCCTGGCCAATATGGTGAAACCCATCTCTACTACAAATACAAAAAATTAGCTGGGTGTGGTGGCGGGCACCTGTAATCCCAGCTACTCTGGAGGCTGAGGCAGGAGAATCGCTTGAACCTGGGAGGTAGAGGTTGCAGTGAGCCAAAATTGTGCCATTGCACTCCAGCCTCAGCAACAAGAGTGAAACTCCATCTCAAAAAATAAATAAATAAAATAAAATAAAATAAAAAAACACCTCATTGCCCCAACACTCAACCAAATAAATATTAATACTGTGTTAGTTAAAAAGAGCACTTACACATTTAGAAGGAGAGAAGCCAGATCACTTGTTCAACTGAATAAATCAGTTGTTTTTATTTTAGCTATTCAAATGTAAAGGCATATAGGTCTGGGATTACACTGTGATTGGCAATACTAATTCTAAAATTTAATCACACACAATCATTAACAAGTAATACTGAAACAAGCCTTCTCTTAGAGCTATCTTAGTTAAGATTTTAGAATTACTATGAACAGTTTATGTCAGAGAGTTTCCAAAAGAATCAAAAACTTAATCTCAGCATGACTATGTCAGGTAAAATCTAGTTCAGCCAGTCCCCAAGAACACAGAGGGATGTAGTAGACACTATTAATACTTTGATTATTAGCAGTTATTTTTTTCCCGTCCCATTTCTAATCAAGATTCTAGTTTTCTCTGCCTTTGCGTTAACAGCTACATAGAAAGAAGAATGTTAATGTAGAAAGAACATAAAGCAAAATGAGCACAGGCTTCAGAACTTGCTAGATGTGGGTTCAAATTCTGCATCCACCACTAACTAGTTAAGTTTACCTCACAAAAGTCAAATGGCCTCTTAAAGCTTCATCAGCTGTAACACAGGCTTCAGTATCAGTCGCACAGACTGGGCACTCAATAAAATGTTTTAAAAATGATTTCCAAAGAAACACATGCTTGTTATAAAATCACTACTAAGAATTAAGGTTTATTTTGCAATATAATTTTTTTTTTTATACAGGATCTCACTTTGTGCCCCAGGCTTGAGTGCAGTGACAGGATCTTGGCTCACTGCAGCCTCGACCTCCTGGGTTCAAGCTATCCTCCTGCCTCAGCCCCACAGGTAGCTGGGACTACAAGCGCACACCACCAGACCCGGTTAATTTTTTTGCATTTGTGGTAGAGATGGGGTTTCACTATGTTGCCAAGGCTGGTCCTGAACTCCTGAGCTCAAGAGATCCACCTGCCGTGGTCTCCCAAAGTGCTAGGATTATGGGCATGAGCCACCATGCCTGACCTATTTTTCAACACAATTTTCTGTTCACATATAAATATATTATGTGTACATATACAGTTCTGTGGGGTTTTTGTTTAGTATTTTCTTTTGTTACTATTTCTAAGACATGAGGTAAGAGACTAAATCTATTTTGTTTTATAAGCAACCTCAATAAAAGATTAAACTACTTTCATGGAGAAAAATCCCCATTATAATGCTAGGACAATAAACAATTTGGAAATCAGTTCCTTTGTCCCACTAAAAATGATAAAAATATAAATTACCTCAAAAAGCCCTCAAATCATCCAATTCTCATTACAACTAGCAGTTCACAGCATCTACATACACACGCCAAATCTCAACCTTTTTCTAAACATTTATTATGTTCTACAGCTGGGGAAAAAAGGAACAATACAATATCAAATTTGAAGAGGAGTCAGCCACAGTGCGAACTTTTGACAATGGACTATTAACTATAAAACAAGTCCAACAATGAAAAAACACAGCAAAAAGTTACTTTCTGTTAAAACTGAAAAGCTTCCAACTGGACCCTCCCAGACCTGTTAAAAACAAGAAAAAGTAAATGAAACTGAAAAGCTATTTGAGATAAATATATACCTGGATGTAATAAAACTGTAAATACTAAATCAGGAAAGACTGTTAGTTTGAGGGACTGAATAGTTTTACATTGTTGGCCTCAGTCTGCTTTTCTTTTTCTAGAGTAAATGTTTCGACCACAGAATAAAACAACCTAAAACAATTTACATTAGTGTGAAAATATTAGCTGCAGGCGAGATACAGCAACATCATAAATCACAACCTCTCTCTGAGAAGAAAAAAATTGTTTTAACAACACCCTGCTGTTAGGGCCAGGTACAGTCCAAACTTATTTCTAAAATCCCAGTGTTACATAACTGAAGTACATTTTGATGGGACTGGACATCAAGTTATATAATTATCAAACTACTGCATTCTGTTTTGATTTTTCAGCAAAGAACATGACAGGCCTGGGGATGCAGCAAGAGAAGAAAATAAATTGAAAGCACCACCCATTCGTTTATAATTTAAAAATAGCTTTTATTTTTAAAATCATCTAGGGAGAAAAATCACAAATTCTCAATATTGCATCCCAAGACTAAGCCATATAAAATGGTCTTTTAAAATCTCAATTCTTATTTGTCATTTTTTTCAAGGTATTTTTAGGTGTTTCCATTATTTAAAAACAGACACAAAAGCTTACTCAACAAAATGTTAAGGTACTTTAAAAGTTAATTAGAGGAGCATTATGATATTTATATGCTTCCTTTCCATAGACAATAGCACAATGTTGTTGGACATTCTACTACATTTGATAGAAAATTTAGTAACAGCTGTCTGCTTGTATAGCAATAATCACAAAATATGTGGAACATATATTCCCAGAAAATCGCATCTTCATCTGTTGGCTTAAATTTAAAGCATCAGAGAATTAGTTGAATATGAAAAGGCTATTATCTAAAACCTATTGATGTATTAATAACCATAATGAGGAGTATTCACTTTAGAGCAAATGCACAATCTCCTCTAAAACATGACTTTAATACAATGCAATCATTAGAAGATCACATCAGTCTGGGAAAAGCTCACACAAAGGATTATTAAAAAACTAAATAGCATCTCTTTATTTTCTTCTTCACAGAGAAAATTTACAAATACGTTGTTTTATTTAAAGCCTTTTTAAAAGGCAAATAAATGAGATAACAAGAGCTTCAGACGTTTTTGAAGCATATATTTGAAAACCTTAGATGACCCTGATAAAGTCTGCAGGAGTATGCAATACCCTGAATAAATGATAGAAACTATTATTACATATTTAAATTAGTAAACCTAAAACAACTAAGCAATCTAATAAAAATTCACTTAAAAGTTGTTCACCGTGAACTAACACTGTAAATACTGGTGATAATTACCGTGACTCGAAGGGATTGTGCCATCCTTGGGCTTCTTTTCTTCTTCAGTTTGCTCCTAGAATACAGAAAATGGGGTTTAGGTGGTATTTCTGGATAATTTTTGGAAACACTGAAAACTAATGTTCATTTTTGCAGGAAGGAAAGTTATGAAGATCCTTGTCACTGAGGGGGACGATACACACAGTACTCAGAGCCTTCCGGTGGGCGCCCAGGAGAGGCACACATGATCCATTGGGACGTGGAAGGAATTCATTAAAAGTATTGTTTCTGGCTAAAATATAAGAGGCAGGAAGCTTCGATAACAGTTAATGTTGAGGTTGACACAGGTACCTTCTCTGAGTGGATCCCTGGGCCTCACAGTCACACAGGAGTGGCTGACGGAAGAGGCTTGGTTCACGCTGAAGCCAAACCCTCCATCCTACTTTTGCTTTCAGCCTATCTGGGTCTACTACAGTTTGTAAGTACTCAGTTAAAATGCTTTAATTTTAACCAAACTGACCTTCATAGAATGGACAAGTGACTTCAACGATTCCTGAAAAGAAACCATAAATTGTGTATGATGAACAATACAAGCAGACGCAGCAAGCAAGATGGTGCGGCCTCTCCCCATGGCACAAGCAAGGCGTGCTCTAACTGCAACTCTCAAAGGAACACTTACATTCAACAAAGACGAGGAAAGTGGCTTCTTTTATGAAAGATATAACAAACAGCACTTTGAAAGTGGGTATCCAGATATGTGTCTTATTTACATCATTTTGTGGCCATCAAAATATATTCCACCTATTAAAAATCCGTGGCCAGCCATGGTGGTTCACACCTGTAATCCCAACACTTTGGGAGGTCAAGGCAGGCAGGTCACAAGGTAAGAAGTTCGAAACTAACCTGCCTAACATGGTGAAACTCTGTCTCTACTAAAAATACAAAAAAGAAAAAATAAGCTGAACATGCAGGCATGCGCCTGTAATCCCAGCTACTCGGGAGGCTGAGGCAGAAGAATCGCTTGAATCTAGGAGGTGAAGGTTCCAGTGAGCCAAGATCGTGCCACTGCACTCCAGTCTGAGTGGCAGAGTGAGACTCTGTCTCAAAAACAAACAAACAAACAAAAAAACTTGTAATAATTATGTACTTAAAAATCGGGAACAGAATTTCCCAGTTTTAAAATATTTTAAATGAAGGGTTTCAAGCAGGCTTTGAACTTACTTTTGGAAACATAAATATGCAACAGTTTTTTGGGTTTGTTTTTTGTTTTTGAGATGAAGTCTCGCTCTGTTGCCCAGGCTATAGTGCAATGGCACAATCTCGGCTCACTACAACCTCCGCCTCCCAGGTTCAAGTGATTCTCCTGCCTCAGCCTCCAGCTGGGATTACAGGTGCACACCACCACACTCGGCTAATTTTTGTATTTTTACTAGAGATGGGGTTTCACCATGTTGCCCAGGCTGGTCTCGAACTCCTGACCTCAAGTGATCTGCCCACTTCGGCCTCCCAAAGTGCTGGGATTACAGGCGTGCACCACCACACCTGGCCAATATGGAATAGTTTTCATTACTTTCCAAGAACAATTAATTATCATCAGAGAATGTGAAAATTTAGCAGCTGATTTACACAAAAACTTTTGCTGAAAAATGAGTACTATGATTTAGTAAGTCTGACTAACAAATATTTCTTCAATTTATTCCTGTACAGTTTGGGGATAGATTTCTTTAAGTTATGGCTAGTGTGGCTGTCAGTCCCAGTCAGAATGGGGCAGACCTGTTCATAGCACTTTGAAAAGCCCCACATCTGGGGAAACTCCTTAGTTGTAGGCAAGTGAGGAGGCTTGGTCACCCTAGCTTTGACAACCATAAAAACCAAATCTAAAAAAAATAGACTGCACATTTGGAAGGCTGAGGCGGGAGGATCACCTGAGGTCAGTAGTTCGAGACTAGCCTGGCTAACATACTGAAACCTTGTCTCTACTACAAATACCAAAAGTTAGCCGGGCGTAGTGGTGGGCACCTGTAATCCCAGCTACTCAGGAGGCTGAGACAGGAGAATCGCTTGAACCCGGAAGGCGGAGGTTGCAGTGAGCTGAGATCACGCCATTGCACTCCAGTCTGGGCAACATGAGCAAAACTCTGTCTCGAAAAAAAAAGAAAAAAAAGAAATACAGACTGCACATAATGGTATCACAAAGCTCTAAACCAGGTTTTCAAAAACGAATCGGGTATACTAATATTTTAATGACAGCAAACTAGTTTTTAACTGATGAAATAAATACTATTAATTTCATTTTTCTACCTTTTTTTGGTTCCTTTTTTAAGTCTATGGCTTTAAGGTATAAAAGACAATTTGTATAGTAACAAATCGTATCAGTGTCTTAATTGTCTTTCATCCCCAAAACATAGCCTGGTACCTAGTCTAGGTCAATAAATATTTGATGAATGAAGGCAAGAATGAAAGGTTCAAAAAGAGAATTTTTCTGCCTGGTAGATTTCACATCCAAAGTTATCACAGATATCTTTGTGCAATTAACAAAATAACATTCTGCTAAAATGTACTATAAGCCAGTGTTTCTCACACTTTAACATGCATTGGAATCATCTGGGAATCTTACTAAAATGCAGACCTTGATTCAGTGGCTCTAGGGTAGGGCCTTAGATTACAGATTCCAACAAGCTCCCAGCAGATGCTACTGCCAAAAGCATACGGCCCTCACTGTGAGTGGCAAGGCTACCACCTTTTAGCAGGGCATGCAGTGGGAGTGGAACAGTCATGCAATCATATCTACCCTGTTCTGCTGCAAGTGAGATGATGAACTGCTGCCTTGGGTCTAACTTCCCATGGTAGCACTTTACCCCAGTTCCACCCCTGTTCATTCACTCAATACACAGGAAATTTACATATGTAATTCAAAACAAAGAGACTGTCTTCTACTGCAAAACCTAAAACAGTAAAAATAAACAGCATTCGACAGTTGATTATGTTCACACTACAGCTACTGAAGCATTTTTATAATCACTGTATCGTTCAAAAATAAAAAGAAATATATAATATGCTATCTGTCACTCAGTGAGTGTTTGGTTCACACTTCTTTATTTGCTACTGAAATTCTGCCTAGAAAGAAAAAAATATTCCGCACAAAAACATTACCTCTTACTTTGGATTTAAATTGCCCAAGCTTCCAATGTCTGTATGTTCTTTAGTTGGATCAAGGTTATAGACAGGTAAACATGCACATGTATACATGAAAGATTATATTGTGTATATCAGAATAAACATATATATCTATAACAGAGGGACCTAAGTTTAAACAATTTTGCACATGGAAAAGTATTTAGTATCATATGATAGAGCAGGGAAAATGCTGATTTTAGGGCTAGGTAACCTAAGGTCAAATCTCAACCCACCACTAAAAGCTATTTAACTTTGAACAAATGACCTACATTCTCTAGACTTGATTTTTCTCTCCTGTTAAAATAAAGAAATTGGACTAAATGTTCTCCAAAGTTCCTGCTAGCTTTAACATTCTTTGCTTCTGTCTAGCTAATTAATTATTTCATAAAGGTAATAAATCTACACTGCTATTAATGAACAGAGAATTAATTTTAAAAAACAAAAGAAAAAAATTAGCACTTTATCTTATCCTTGCAGACAGACCACTAAAGGAAATCAATGCAAATTGCGAAAAATGAAACCATTACTGCGATTTCTAAGGTTTCAAACTTTAATTCTGAAAACTGAAAATAAAGTTCCAGAAAAAAATAGTGTTCTGCAAAAAAGGGAGATAATGGTTTAAGGAACATAAAGTAAGTCTTTGCTATGGTACATTTCCATTCACCAGTTTAAAATCCATCATTTTGGAAGAGAGGATTATGAAGTGGGAAAATAACCAAAAAGGCTTAATGTTCTGTTCCCTCCTGCTGGCACTGGATGCATCATATGCTTTTACTACAAGGCACAGTGACGTTTCCTAATTAATTAGTGTCTACATTTCTCTGTCTATGAATTCCAATCAAGGGAACAAAACGAAGGATTTTCAGCTGCTGACTTGGGTTTGGCAATTTCCATTCATCACCTTGGAACTGCCAGATAATGCCCCTTTGCTCTCCTTTGCTGTCAGACCAAAGACTCCTGAACACTCAAGGATTTTTGAGAACTCTGCTGTTCTTGTTCCATAAGAACCTGCTATCTGTGGCCCAGAGGGTGATACACATTGGTTTCATGAACTGTAGAAAACAGTGAAATCCTATTTAATACCCCAGTGACAAATGGCTATTTGAATTTCAACTGCTGGTTCAAGTCCACTTTTCAACTTCTTTTTTGCTCTAATCCAATGTGGGATATAAACTGAAGATACATAGAATTCGCCTTTTGGATAAAAGTACAGAAATTTGTGGGACTTTTCTCCATTGCTCTACTGGAATTCAGACACACTCAGGGAGAATGAAATGCTTCCATTTTGTTCAAATACTTGGTAATATAACTACAGTCTCCAAATGAAATCTCTCTAAAGTGTTTGCTAAGACACATACAAAAACAAAAAGTGAAAAATCTAACATAGCCTTATAAACACCACCTTCTCACGGTTTTCACCATCTGTAAGTGAATTTTACTGGCTGTTGTAAACTGACATCAGTCTTCTATGAGGCAACAAAATGTAAAGAGTTAACTATTACTTAAAAACAGAAACCAAAATAAACTCACCCCAAACATTTTTTCAGTATCTATTTAAGGATGTTACGGAAAGATTGCATTACCCTCTGCAAAAGTTGAGGTCAACCATGACCCCTGATGTCATTCTTTAAAGGCCAGTGGCCACCACTGCAAGTACAACTTCCTCCGCTCGGCCATCAAGCCTCACTAAGTGTGACCAGCCAGATCTACCCCAGTCACCCTGCAATCTAATTGCACACCAAATTTTATCCTTACTGAAATGGAAAGACCCGTAAAGATCTTGCGATCTAAGACTTGTTCTACAGACAAAGAAGCTGAGCCCAGCCCGGTGAAGTGACTTGTCTTTGGCCACACAGTTAATGAGCACCACAGCAAAAAATAAAACCTGAATCTCCTGACCCATGCCCCAACCCCACCCAATGCTCATCTACTAACACTGCCAATAGCAACATCTGCTCCAATCAGGTAAGTCATTAAGGTCCTGCCATATATCACAGACGTCACCTTCTCTTCCAACCCCATATCTTTGCTCATGCTGCCTCCTTAAGGGGCCCAGATAACTCCGCTCTGATCCCTCAACTTTATTACCTCTCAAGGTTACAGAGCATCTAGATGTTAATATATTAAAAAGTTATATGGCCAGGCGCAGTGGCTCCCACCTATAATCCTGGAACTTTGGGAGGTCGAGGCGGGCAGATCACGAGGTCAAGAGATCAAGACCATGCTGGCCAACATGGTGAAACTCCATCTCTATTAAAAATACAAAAAAAAATTAGCTGGGCATGGTGGTGCACACCTGTAGTCGCAGCTACTCGTGAAGCTGAGGCAGGAAAATTGCTTGAACTGTGAGACGGAGGTTGCAGTGAGCCAAGATTGTGCCACTGCACTCCAACCTGGTGACAGAGCAAGACTCCATCTCAAAAAAAAAAAAAAAAGTTGTATTCTCTCAGATTGGATTTACCAGGTTGGATTTAAAAGCTGTTTGTTACAACAGAATAACAATGCATTCAAGATAAATATCTTAGATACTCTTCATCCTTCAAGGTCAGACTCAAGCTCTCAATGACTCTACCTTTCTCTGAAGGGTGACCATACCTTAGAGCACTAATGTGCTACACATGTACTTAGTTGTTCTCCATTACTCTACATAAGTTAGTTTTCCTTTATTCAGCAATACTCTAAGATCCTTTAGAGAATGAAAAATGTCTCATATTTCTATCTCTCAAAGTTCATCACTCACTATTTAGATAAAGATCTATTGATGTTAAGAGGTTCACAGGGAGAGACAGAATGGGATTAACATTTTTTCAGTATCAAATATTTTATATACACAGAGATCATATATTTCATTCTTATACATTCAAACAAAATTTCCTTTTTCATCTGTGAAACTTGCATTTTTATGTAGCAAATTTGAAATTTCACAGCCTGTATTATTATTTTGGGGTTTTGTGCCTAGAACACTCACATACACACTAGACATCAATGAAATAACCCTGAAAAAAAAAATACTTCATTTCCCCAATCACCATATGCCTACACTTTGCTAGTCAATTCTAAAGCAAGCTGGTGAGCAGAAAAAGCTAGCAAAGGGCACCAAAAATGACACTTATCTTTGTGTTAGAAGTTGTGAAAATACAAAATCCGTCAAGGAGTCTAAAAGGACAGAGAAAAACCCTCTTCAAGTCTGCAGCAGCACTACAGGGACCAGATCCTAAACAGAGGTTTACCCATATGGTAGAAATAAAGATGTAAAACATGTAATAAATTCCAAGGAAAAGAGGCACTCTCTCAGATGTGTTAGGGAGAGGATAAACTAGGGTGATCTCTTTGGAGGATGATATGGAGTGGTTTATCAAAATTTTAAACAAGCATACCCTTTGGTACAATAATTTCACTGCTATGATAGTACTTATGAATGAACTGCAAAAGCATTCACATATAAAAAGGATATATGAATAAGAACATTGGATATAACATGGTGTATAACCACAAAAATTAAAATAATCTAAATGTTCACAGTAGGGCACTGTTAAAATAAATTATGGCACATTCATAAAAATGAAATACTATGCAGCACTGAAAATAATAAAACCTGTATCTCCAAAACATTCATAATTAAGTGCAAAAAAAGCAAGATGCAAAACAACAAGCAGAATGTGAGTGCATTTGGGATGTGTGTATGTATGTGTATAGGTGCAGAAAAGGTTTGGAATTTTTAGCTGGTTTTTTTTTCCTATGTAGACATACAAGAAACTGTACATAGTGGTCACATGGTTAGGAAAATATTTAGGGGTTTAGTGTATGTGTGAGGGGATACGGTAGATAATTTAATTCTCACTTAACTGCCTGTCTGTACTGTTTGAACATATGCCTATGTTCTGAAAAGCATTAGAAAATATTTTTTTAAATTCTATCTAGAAATACATAGAAAATTAGTCTAGAAATATTCATTGACAGATATTAATATTATCATCTAAAATTATTAGATATCCAAGGTATGAAATTACTATCTCAGAAGAAAATGTTCGGAAACACCCAACTGTACGTTTGCTTGATGTTTTATGTGCATGATCTGCCACTGGGATGTTATTTAGTTGACTAGAAATGTCGCTTGTAAACCAGAAGGGTAACACACAAAATAAAGGATGTTACCAATATTTCAAGGAGTCTAGCAAAACTCAAGCATGACTCAACCCTTCTTTCCACAGTGAATGCAGCCCCAGGTGTGAATACAGCCTACTATATTAAACTGTTAAATTTGACTAATGAAAATGAACATTGTCACTGGCAATGAGCCCCAAACTGACAGTGCAACGTGGACTAAATGTGCATCTTTTCAATGATATGTGAACATGCTTTAAAATAATATGTCCCAAACATCCCAAAAGGTAAACTAAGAATACGGCTCTTTAAAATATTATTTGAAAAAATTTATTTGCATGGAGATGTCATTAAGCACCAGGAACATCATTTAACAGATATTTTTGAAAATCTAACTATACAAGCCCTGCACTGAAAGCGTATCTCAGTGTTAAGCACTGCTGGAGTCCAATAAGGGGAAAATCCCAGTGTGGGGTAGAAATAACAGTAAACACATCAGGATTAAGTTAGAAACTGAGTTGGTCTTTAAGAGGAAATTGGGATTTTTGTTAATGCAGAAGAGGCAAAAGGTTAAATACTCAGATTGTAGAGTACTAAGATAGGGTGGTAACAATCTCAGCAGCTTAAAGAGAAATGATACTGACAATTAATATAAAATATGTGTGGATGGGGGAAGGTGGTCTCAAATGTAAAACAAAAAAATTTAAGAAAAATACTGATTAACTGTAACATGACTAGCAGGTAAGATGCATCTGGCCACTTCCCTAGGACAATGGTTCTCAAACATGAGTGGGCATCAGAATCACCTGGATTGTTAAAACACAGATTGCTGGGCCCCACCTCTACAGTAGCTGATTCAGAAGATCTGGACTGGGGCCAAGGAATCTGCATTTCCAACAAACCTCCAGGTGATGCTGATGCTGCTGGTCCAGGGACCACATGTGGAAAAGTACCCAGAATAACTCTGAACACATCAAATCCTGAGTCTCATGCTCTCATTCCTCAGAGGACACGACACAGCAGAACACTAACAATGGCATCTTCACCTAAGCCAAGACAGATGCAGGCCGGCTCAAATCTGGTCCAAGACACCTCTTAAATAGCAAGTTCTTCCCTTATACATGTAGAGCTCTAAACTCTCCTGGAACTGATCTAAGAAAAGCAACCAATCTGGACTCAGGGAACTGGCCCCTGGCCCAGTGTTAATCACCCTATTGCCCAGTGAGGCTAGTCCTGAGGGAATGGCTCCAGAGTTTGACATAGACCTATTCTGAACACCTTGAAACCAACCTCAAACCAGATCATTCCTTGAGATGTCTCATTTAATGTCTGGAGTTCATCAAACCACACCTAACCTGGAACTGAACAAAAAGAAAATGTATTACACGATGTCACTTCAGCAACTGCAATGTGTAAATGTATAACCACAAACCACATGAAGACCCCAAAATCCACATCCAAATAAATGCTAAGAGCCAATGAAGGGTCACAGATGAGAATGCTGTAATGGCCCACCATCCCCAAAAATAGTCACCATGGAGGTCTTCTGGTCATTCTGCTAACTTTTAAATTTGCAGGAATACATAAAGCTGTCCTAAGGAAACAGAACAGGCACGGTGACTACAGGCATAGTGAACATTATACCTTCTAAGTGTCTAGATGTTGCTGTGAAGGTATATTTTTAGATATGATTAACATTCACATCAGCAGGCTTCGAACAAATCAGATCACCCTGTAATGCGGGTGGGTCTCATTTAATCAGTTGAAGGCATTAAGAGAAAAAACAGGTCCTCCGAGGAAGAAGGAATTCTGCCTGCAGACTGACCTGGACTCAAGACTGCAGCACCAACTCTTCCCTGGGCCTCCAACCTGCCAGGCTGCCCCGCATGTCTCAGACATGTCAGCCCCCACGACGCACCTCGATAAATTCCTCTTTTTAAGATAAGTCTCTCTCTCTCTCACTCTCTCTCGCTGCTAGCTCTCTGTGTGTGTGTGTGTGTGTGTATACAAACACACAAAAAAATCACACACATATACACATACACTCATCCTAGGGGGTCCTGTTTCTCTGGAGAACCCTAACACAACCCCCTGCAGTTTACAGCCTCCGTTCTCTCACTTGAGAATGATTGATTACCTCCATCTTTGTGAAAGAAAAGGTCTCCTTTCACCTTTAAAATTAAGATCACCTTTTAAAATATATCAGACTTTAAAAACACTTATATTCTATACCACTATGCATGAAAGTCAACCAGAAGCCACATCGTTTCCAGTGACTGAAAAGCCCCTCAGTGTGGTTATGTGAACTCTACTATTTCATGGTGCATTTTGGTAGCGAGCACACACTGTGAGGAAGGGTCCAGGGAGTGACATCTTACCAAGCATCCGTCCTGATCCAAACGCTCTTTGGAATCCATATTAAGCTTCCTTTTCCTGTTGGGCTGTTTCATTGCCACCCCTGCACTCCTTGGCAGTGGTTTTCTGTAAAACAGGGTCATATAAGAAGTTGGGGATGGGGGTGTGACCCCTTCAGAATTACAGAAGCAAACAAGAAAATGCTTTCAATTATACTTCTCATAATTGGTTGCTATAAATAACCTGATAAGTTGACAAAAATTTTGCAATTGGATTTATAGTCCTTAATACAATAATAAGACAACGGGGAAGAAATGCGTTTTCTACCTCATCTAGAATTTATATAATGGGGAAAATAGATACTGTTGCTTTTGGTCTTATCTGGAATAAAATGTTTGCTTTTTTGCTTAGCTGACCTAACCAATTAGGATTCACTGCAATCAAACTGCACAGGTTCTGTACTCACATGGTCTGACAGGTATTCTTGGTAAGAGGTCTTAGTCATACAAGGCATAGCACAACAATCTGAAACAGAAAATAAGAAAAAATTTCACCAATTCAATTCATCATGACCCTTCTGTATATTCATAAACAGTGGTAGACATTCTTTGAAAAGTTATTTGAAATGAGTTTTTTTTTAGAGGGCAGGTCAACCATTTTGGAGAACCAACCACCAATACCAAATGAGTTCCACTGGAGCTATAATTCAAAAGTCATTCACTCTGAAATAATGTTAACAATTGAAATATAATTTTTTAAACTTTTAATAGCCCTAAATCATCTATAGTCTCCAGTGCTTTACAATGATATATCCAACTTCTTCATTGATATTTCCACCTGAACAATGACACTCCAAATATGGCAAATGTAACATATTTGCAACCGAGCTCATCTTCCTCCACACTGCCTCCCAGTTCTAGGTTCTCCTATTTGCACAGATAACTGGCCACCCATTTGCCCAGAGCTTCCTCTTACGGTTGTTCAGACTGTACACCACCCAAGAGCACCAACCCAAGGGGCAAGTGGAGGCTGAAATCCACCGTGGGCTCTACACCCACAGTTCACCTGTCACTGGCCTGCATCATCCCAGGAGAAAATGCATCTTTTTCTCATTCAAACAATACTACCTTCTGGGCTAATGTCTGAGCCAGAGAACTAGAAGTTGCCATCATTTCATCCTTTATATCACATTGTACATATTGCCATCAGGTTTTGTTGATTTTTAATTTACTAAACATTTATTGAATTTACCTTCTTCCTCTACTCCTATTAACTCTGATCATTCCAATTTTATGTTGCAGTCAATCCAAAGGTCTTAAAGTTCTTTGCAAAGCAAGGTTCCTGCTGCTTCTCCACTCCATACTTCTGCTGGTCCCTCAACCTCTGAACACCTTCCCCATTGCCTGCCCTCCCTTTTCCAACTTATCTAATTCTAACTCATCCTTTCTGACCCCACTAAAAGAGACTTCACAGCTTTCAAGAAGGTCTTCCTTGCCTACCTCCTGCTCCAAGTAAACCAAGTGTGTCTTTTCTATATTGCATTTCTTGTGCATACCTTTATTGTAGTTTTTGTTTGCAGATATGCCTCCCTTTATGAGCCTGTAAGCATCCTGATGACAAAGACTGTGAATTACTGATTCTTATTTTCCACTGTCTAGATATTACCTGGCTCACAGCAGTCTCTCAATATGTGTTTATTGACTTCAACTACATAAACATGTCTCTCTGAATTATAGAGAAGCCTCAAGCCCTTAAATCCAGTGAATATTAGTTCTTGATCCATACATTATCTTTTATAATGCTGTATGACTACAGTGAGCACAGTTTTCAAAATTAATTCCTTTCCCTTTTTCTTTAATATACAAAACAAAAAAATAAACAAAAAAAAACTTCCTTTCCACATACCCTTTTGCTTCTAGTCAGATGATATTTATGTTCTTAAGACACGCACTTATGTACTAAATTCAATAACATTACATTCATTTTGAAGAATGTAAATACAATTTTTCATGCCTAGCTTCTGGTAATTCTCTGAACATCTATGCAAATGAACAGCATAGACTTGATGCCTGTAGCAAAGTATTATTGCACAAGACACAAGCACTGCCAAGGCTGTCCTGCCTTTCACGACAAATAATACCCCACGGCTTGTCAAACTGAAATCATCTGGCTACTGACATTTTTCTCCTCACCATCAAAATGATCTGCCTTGCTAATCTCTGGCAATTATCTCAATAACCTTGATTTGTTTAAAACAGCAAGAAAGCCTGAATTCACATTATTTTATATCGGGGGAAAAAAATGAAAGTTTTTATACTTTGAGGAGAAATTTCAACATACAATTTGGTAATAATGAATTTCCTCTGGATTTAGAAATAATAAAGCAAAAATATAAAAGTCACCGAACAATCTATATAAGATTTTGCTGCCAGACAAAAAGGGAATCAAATACAAGATCCCATTAAATACATAGGAGACGAATGACATACAGATGGACGACAGACAGATGGATGGATGGACAGATAGACAGACAGATAGATGATAGATAGATAGTCTAACACACAGAAAAACAGGCTTAAAGAGAGATTTTGTATAATCCTTTATAATGTCAATGCAAAGAACATATTCTACCCAACCGAATAGGACATTTCTTTTGAAATAAACCTAACTTAATGTCCTTGGCATGGTATCAAAATACATGGATTACTCTGATTGTCCATGGTATACGGCCTACTCCCAGGAAGCCCCAAATGTCACATCAGCCACGTGTCTCCTTGCTGAGCTTTGAAAACATATATAAAGTTTTTGGAGTAAAAAAAGAGAATAATATCAAATTATAAAACACATCAAAGAAACACATTATCCAGGGTAAGTAAAGGCATGTACCAACTACACTGAGCTGCGCTCAGTGTCCCCTGGCTTTGTGACAGTGCCCAAGCACCACCTAACATAGACAAGGTGATGTTCAGTGATTTTAATTAGAGAAGCTTCTAAATAGTGTTTTAGATTTTAAAAAAACAACATAGATAACTACATATAAATGTTTTGTATTTCTGTGTAAAAATTGAAAATAGTGTACTAATTTTTCAATTTAATCCTCTAAATGAGTTTAATTTCCCTTCATAGTAGAATTCTCTGTCTGCATGTTGCCAAATACTAAGGAGATAAATTAGACTGATACTTAGAAAGCATCTGAATACTTCAAATGGAAGGAGTCTATAAATAACTAAAATAATTCACTATCTGTCTATGTCCAGGTGCTATTTGGCAATTCTTTCAAAAACATTTTATTGATCATCTATTAATCACCAGTATAGTTACAGGTACCTTGAGGAATATGAAGCCGATTAATCACACACCCTCTAAAGGGAGATAAGTATAGCAGCCATATGTCCTGGATAACCCAAGGTACGTCTGCCTTCTGCCACTCATCCTGGCATAAGGATTAACAGCACTGCTTTCACTCCCCCAAAATATCCCAGTTTAAACAATAAATCGTATGGTACCATATGGGTAAGAAACATACATAAATTAATAAGAAATGTAACACATGCCATTAAAAAATGACAGAGTAGCCTGGGTATTCACAGGAGGGACAATAGGTCTAACAACATGCACAGTGAAAGAACATTTCTGGTGGTTCTAGGACACTGCGCAGATCTTAAATGAGTTTATCACCAAAATATCGAATACAAATTTCTGATCACTGTACTGATTTCCCACTATTTCAAAGATATTGCCAGCCTAGAATTTATTCATCTGGTTGATACTTGATGTTAATAATACATAATGTTTGAATAAATTAATAAATGATTACAAGTGAATGAATTATTAATAAATGATTATAAGTGAATGAATTTTGATAACTTATGCGTGAATTATTGATCCTTCTTAATGGCATTAATAATAGCTAACATTACTTGAGTACTAATGTACCAGGCATAGCTATCAGCCCTCTACACATACACTTTCAATTAATACTTATGACAGCCCAACAATATGTGTACCACTGTCGCCCTCATTTCACAGAAGAGGAAACACCAAGGGGTTAAGTAACTTGTCCAAGGTTATATAACAGGCAAGTAGCCAGACAGTAGAATTCTGGGGTCCATCTTTGAACACCATACTATGCTGTAGCTTTTGTAACTATATTATAAGTTTAGTTATCTGAAACTTAACCACTCAGTACACTAACCAAATCCCTGCTACATACAAACATGTAAAACAGAAATCACGTAAAATATACATGATTTAAGGCAGAAACTGACAACAAACTTCCTGTGGGAACCACTGGCCCTCATGTGGAGCCTATCTGCATAGTGGCTCTTTATTGTCACTTTACTTATGTCATGGCAGCCACCTGCTCTCATTTTTTTAAAATTTTGCCTTTATTACCTATTTTGGAATCTTAAAATACTGATAGTTAATCATGTATTAATTCTGCACCCGTAAGTCTTACATAATACTTTATGAGAATAGCACGGTAAGTCCCAAGATTCAGGGTCCAAAGGGTATCACAGAGGTTGACTGAAACTCAGAATTTTCTAAACAATTACATTACTCTCACCGAGTCTATCTCACTCCCCTGTCACCCCCATCAGAGCTAGTGCTGGTGCCCACTGCTGGGAGACATAAGGACAGGTCACATCACTGGACCCCTTGCAGATAATCTTCATCACAAGCCCGAAATTTGGCAGCCCCATGGGGTGGCTACCCAGAGGAATAGCAGTGTTAACAGTGGTCTGGCTCTCGAGGACTCCAACTTCTAGCGGAAGGGGAAGTACACCACATCAAGGGAACACCCCATGGGACAAAAGAGTCTGGATACCAGGCCTTGAGTCCCAGAACATTCTGCTCGTGGGAAGTTTCTTTCAGCAGAGGCATGAGTGCAATGCTGGTGCTCATGAAGGGTCTTGGAGAAGGGGACTTCTTTTCTCTCTTATCTATTACTGCAAACACAGCTGGGGCTTCTCCTATAAGAGCCTGACATGAGTGTATCTATAGACAGCCTTTCTGGAACACTTTAGGGTGACAGCATCCTCACAGTAGGAGTGCCCTCCAGATTCAGGCTTGCACAAGAAGTGGAATCACAACTCCTCTATACTTGGAACATCAACATTCCTAGACATGAAAACAGGTGCCTGTCTGATATGAATACCTGGAACATTGGGTCAGGAGTGCATCTGGGAGTTGGATCACTTTCCTGCTGGCCTAGCAGAAGAAATAAGGTGGCTCCCACCCTTCCCCCTGATAAGACCTCAGTGTTTTTCACTGAAAGGTCCCCCAGCCACCTCTATCAAGGCTGGGACATCTGCCCACTATTGGGTTCTGCATTTACCCACCTGCTTTAGCCAAAACCAGTTTCTACCCAGGGATACTTTCCCTACTGGCCTGAAGCTTTAACTATTCAACCCAGTAAATAAATAAAATATTGGGACAAAATAAATACATACATACATATGTACATACATACATACACACTGTGGGGAAACAAGATAAGCTTCAAGAGATCTCTGCCATTCCAA